TCTGCTACTGCAAAGAGGTGAAAACCGTTTCACTCCCGCCGTCCTAAATTCGAGGTCCTCCGAGAATATTTCAGTCCAAGGCAGGACCTTTACCCTTCTTGTCACGCTTGTAGGCTCTGACTATGTCAAGAGCTGTTTCTAGAAGTTCTGAGCTGTTTCTAGAAGTTCTGTCCTAGTAAACCAGCGGTCATCTTCCGGTTCCTTATAAGCAAACCGGACCTTATACTGTTTCTGTGGACGACCTCTACCTCCTGTCCTGAACACATCTTCATCTACAATGTCGTCAATGTCATATCTTCCATCCATATCCGGCGGGATCATGGATCTTCTTGAAGGAAACTGTTGACTTGTGACACACGGCAACAACTTTGAGGCATGGAATACAGGGTAAGTGCAGAGGTATGCTGGAATCTCTATTGTGTAGGCCGACCCATCCTCTCCACCCTTGACTTCTAGAACCGGCCACGGTCCTCTATATGCAGGTAGTAACTTCTGCGAGATGTGCTCCTCATGTGCAAACTCTTTAGACTTGACCCAGACTAAGTCGCCTACTTGAAACTGCGAGGGGCGACGGTGCTTATTAGCCTGTTCTATCATTCTGTGTTGGGCCTTCCTGAGGTTTTCAACAACGATAGCTAATTCTTTCTCGTAATGTATCGCAAACTCCCTGGTACTGGGCGGTAACCTGTGAACCTGATCCCGGTTCAGTCCTTCGAATGGTCTGCGCGGTCTAAAGGACTTGTGCAGCTCATTGGGAGTGCGACAAGTGGACAGATGCACGCTATTATTGTATGCGCTAGCTACCTTAGGCAGCATCTCGTCCCAATTGATCTGGTCGGGTCTAATGTACATGCACAGAACTTGCTGTAGGATCTTGTTCATTTGCTCGGTCTGACCGTTGGTCTCTGGGTGGCGGCCAGACGACATCAACAACTTAGATCCGTAAACTCACATGAGTTCTTGCCAGTTCTGGCTGGTGAAGCGACTATCTCTATCGCTAACTATTGACAATGGGACTCCATTCTCACTCACCCAAAAATCAAAGAACTTTCGTATAACTAAATCCGTACGTGCCTCTGCAGGCAAGGGAACAAAAACAACATACTTGCTAAATCGGTCAACTATGACCATGACTTGGCTCTGGCCGTGTCTACTCTTGACACCGGCATCCATAAAATCAATGGAGACTGAGTCTCCCGACTGGTCTGGGATAGGCAAGGGTCTGAGAAGACCTAGGGGGGCACGCGTAGTGGTCTTGTTCCTCTGGCAAACTTTGCAACTGCGAACATACTCTATGCAGCCAGCTTTCATTCCTGGCGAGGTATACGCACGCATCAGATTGGCTAGAGTTTTCTGCCAACCGAAGTGTCCCTCTGTGTCATGACATTCCCCTAAGATCAGGCTACGGATCTCCTCGTTGTTGGGAATGCACAGGCGGTCTACTACATTAGTCTTCTCAAACAATAGTCCCTCAGTAGTGCGGTAGTCTGGTTCGGTCTCAGGGGCCTCCTTAACTCTCTTGAGGAGGTCACTATAGATAGGGTCCTGCGCATACGCCTGTCAGACTTTCTCTTGCAGGTCCTTTCCTATGTCCAGATAGTGCACTATAGCTCCAAAGTAGTCGGATCTCCTACTTAGAGCATCCGCAACTACGTCGTACTTTTCTTTGACCGGTTTGAGCTCAAAGTCATACTGGTCTATCTCAACGGCCCACCTAGTCAACTTAGGTGTCATTTTGGCCTGGGTCTTTAACCATCTAAGTGTTTCATGGTCTAAGTAGACTTTGAAGTGCCTCCCAAGCAGGTAATGTTTCCAATGCGCTAAAGCCTGCCTGAGAGCGTAGAGTTCTCTCTCATACGTCGAGGTGGCTACTATCTCTGAAAGCATCCTCGGTGACATGAACTCTACGAGTCTATAGCCATTGCCGTCATCTTGCTGGAACACGACGCCTATACCATACCGACTCGCGTCCGTGGTGACGACAAATGGTAAAGACGGATCAGCTACTTTGAGGACAGGATACTCTATCAACGCGCGCTTTAACTTCTTTAGCGCAGACGTACAGTCTCTATCCCATTGCCAGATTGCCTCTTTCTTAAGCAACCTGCGCAAGGGAGCGGCGATAGTAGAGAAGTTCCTCACGAACTTCCTATAGTAGTTAGCTAGGCCTAGGAACGACTGCAACTCAGTCAACGTGCGGGGCATCGGCCAGTCTCTAATTGCCGCTATCTTGCTGTCCTCTGGCTTAATGCCATCTCCGTCTAACACGTGGCCCAAGCTCTTCGCGTTAATCTTGAAGTTAGTTTCTCTCAGCTTCTCCAAGACTTGCCTCAAATGACCCTGATGTTCTTGGAGGGTCCTGCTGAAAACTAATATATCATCTAGATAAACTACTACAAACTTATCTAACCAAGGTCTAAACAGATCATTCATACAACGTTGAAAGGTAGCTGGCGCGTTGGTTAGTCCAAAGGGCATCACTATGAACTCTTAATGCCCATATCTTGTCCGGAATGCAGTTTTGTACTGGTCATCAGGATGGACCTCTATCTGATGATATCCGGACTTCAAATCTATCTTAGAGAAATACTTACAACCCTGCACCCGATCTAGAAGATCGTCTATCCTGGGCAGCGGTTCAACATTCTTCACAGTAATCGCATTCAAACCCCTATAGTCTATACACATACGAAGCTCTCCTTCCTTCTTGGGGACAAACAGGACTGGTGCTCCAAAAGGAGACGAACTGGGCCTGATCCAACCTTTCGCGAGGAGCTCGTCTAACTGCTTGCGTAGCTCCTCTAACTCCCTCGGGGACATCCTGTAGACTGCTCCCTTAGGAGTCCTACTGCCAGGCTCTATCTCTATCCTGTGTTGGATGGGCCGCGACACTACTCCTGTCGGCGACTCAGTTAGATCTTTGAACTCCTCCAGCAGCCTGGCAATGGTTGGATCCGTGGAACTATCTCCTTCTTTAGCCTCAGTGACAGGCCTCACATACACTATGAAGACCTGATCCTCTAGCTGCTCCTTTTTCACTAGTCGCACGAACGCGGGAGCACTGAGACAGCAATGTGCCAGAGTATTGTCTACACCTGACACAAGAAACAGGCGGGCAGTCTTAACCTCGCCTGACGGACTAGGGAGCCTACACTCATGCTCTCTCAAGTGGACTGTGGCCCCTGCTGCCTCTCCCCAATCCATTCCTAAGACTATGTCAAAAGGAAGGTCATCCTGTACGAGGAGAGTCAAGGAATGGAGAACTTTCTCCACCTTCCCATCCTTCTCTAGGTGATAGTACGCCTGGACTCCCTCTACGTAGTCCTTAACTCGCATTGTGCGGTTGTCTGCGAGGACACTGACTATGGGGTCTGCTAACTTTTGGACTTTTAATCCTAGCCTCAACTTCTTCAGCGCCCTACGGCTAATGTAACTGCGGGTGGCCCTACTCTGCTTCTAAACACTTCTACATCTACCAAGATCAGTTGTCCCTTACTCTCCTTCTTCATTTTGGCCCAGGCTGGCATCCTCTCCTTCAACTCTTCTGCCACGCCTGTGAGGGGCGTGCCTAGAGAGACGCTAACACAAGCAGTCTCTGGACAGCTAGCTAGGCACGGGCCTGCAACCTCTGCCATAGGCTCATGTGATTTGGGAGTTTCCTGTGTGCGCGCGCTCGCTTCCCCACATGGCCTTGAAGTAGGGGCAGTTGCGACCCCTACTGGCGGCTGCCTTTTGACTGTTGGGCAACCCATCGGGCCTGTCTATACTTAGGACAAAATTTAATTACATGGGTCGGGTCACCACAGAATACGCACTGACCCAAGTCCACACGTTCCTGCCATACGCGCTTGTCCAAGCCCAAATCTTCCCAAGGTCTGCCTTGTGGCAAGCCTGGGTGTCGTCCTCCTGTCTGTTGAGGTGGCCTTCCTCCTCGTCGTTGTGGGGACCGACAAGAACCCTGACGATTCGGCGGGGGACCTTGACCCCTACCTCCCACTTGGCGGTTCCCTTGTCCGCCAACCCCCTGTGTGCCCGGTCCTCGGCCTCCCATGGCCTGGCCCCTTTGGCCCTGGCCTCCTCCTCTACCTTGCGGCCTCCCTCCAGCCGTGACAACCGCATAAGACCTCCCCTGCCCTATGCTGCTGTCATCCTCCTCTGACCCCCACTCAATCTCACTGTAGGGGATTTCATCTGTACCACCTTCTTCTAGCGTGAGGATTATATGATCCTTGGCCCTCACTTGGCGAGAGATGGTACGGCCCTTCCACTTCTTTCCTTTGTCCAAGTCCTTGTGCCAGAAAGTGGAAACTGGCATGGACTTTGACTCGAACAGGACCACCTCTCTACTCAGCACATCATAGGTGATGTCAGCCTGTTGAGATCTGTCAAAGAAATGCCCACGCAGGGGCTCTAGCATGGCACGATAAAATAACTGGACCAACTGGGGCTCAGTGACCCCATGGTCTGGGACGGCTACCAAGTCGTGCATGACGCCCTTGAGTGCCCTTGCACTCCTCCATTGTCGCGAGTGGATAGTCTGTAATTTGTCAGAGGCTCTAACGCCTCTTGTTGGGTCAGCAAATCGCTCCCTTAGGAGCTTGAAGAAGTGAGGAAGGGGGGTAACCTTGGAATATGCAACCAGGTTGTTTTCACAACCGGCTGCGTGCGCTAGGGGCCTGGCAAAACTAGCCGCTTCATCCTTAAAGGCCTGGAAGGCGACGAGGACTTGCTCCTCAGTCAGGATGTGTTGTAAGTATACGACACTGTTCACACTAGCCTCCCAGTTATCAAAATTTTCTTCCTTCTTCCCCCCATACGCATATGGGAATTTAAGCTTAACGGGCTCCTTACGAGGCCTGGCCTCACCCTCTACAGCGGCTATTGCTTTGGCACCTTCGATGGCGCCCTCGCAGAACTTCCCCATGTTGTCTCTCAGTCGCCTTTCTTCGCCTCCAACGTGGGTGACCATATCGCGCGCGAAATTTCTAAATCCTGACCGCATGGCACTCAGGGCCACATCCTGACCCCTATTGCTTGGTGCTCCTCCATCCAGGCCGCACTCAACACTTCCAGATAACCCAACACCTTATCCATCTTGGCAGAAATGTCTGGCTGCGCCTGCACCTCTTGTCTACAATCTCTCATTTTTGCCACCTCCTCGGTCAGCCTATTAACTTCGTCCCTCCTGCTCTTCTTTTCCCTTTTCATCCTCAGTTTCCACTCCAACTTCTTCTCTTCTTCTCTTTCTCGCCGTTCCAGAGGGTCCTCCATTGCTGCTAGCTCACTGGCTAACGCGTCCCTCTCGTCATGGGGCACATAAAACTCTGCCTCCTCATCTTCCCCCAATGATAAATTAGCAATCCACTCGCTGATTCTCTTCTCCATGGCGGCGTCCTCATTCGCCGTGCCACTACTCTCTCCTTTTACTTCCCTGCGTTTCCTCTGCTCTTTTGCTTCTGATGCCGCTTCTTCTTCAGCAGCCTTCTTCTTTTTCTCCATCTCCTCCTCCAATTCCTTCATCTTCGCCGCCTGCTCCTCTACGATTGCCTTTAGCTTCGCCTGTTTCAGGAGCTCTTTCCTCTCCTTATTATCTCTTACTAAGGCGACCATCTTCTCTTGTTGCTCCTGGGTGTAGGGGCTAGTGTTGGTCCCACTACGGGTCTCGACCATGGTGATAAGTGCACAACCGGGTTGACGGTTCCAAAACTCACCACGTACAAACCTACTGACTCAATCTAAGACTCACAGAATCCGGACAGGGATCCTGCCAACTAGGGTCTCTAGCCTAGACCTACACTATGGCTGTCACTACTAGACCTGTTGCTGATCAGGATGCATTTAAGGAGATCCCCCGTAACTCCTCAGGAATTATTTAACGTCGCAGACAGAACGACGTGATCAATAGGTCTTTCAACACTTAGACTGCCTGTTGCGCAGCCCACAACTCAGCCTCGGGCCTACCGTGCCACATCGAGCAGCCCGCCGGTCTGTACCGGTCCTTGGGAGGGTTAGGCCTCCGGGACAGTGGAGTCGTCAGACACAGTTTTTAGCCCTACTAGGTCCGATAGGGGTTTGGTCAACAAGGCCTATCCTTCATCCACAGAGTACTATCACCTGGACAAAAAAGACCCGATGCAGAAAGAAGAGATAGACAGACTGGACTCAGCAAGTACCACAGGGTGTGTGCACATCCATAGGGCGAGGGATAGGCTGAAGGCTTGGCGAGATTATACCGGCGCCAGCTTGGTCAACTCGTGGTCAACGGTCTTGGTCAACGCCTTGGTCAACGCTCGGTCAACATTGTAGTCAACCCCCAGTCAACCCTCGGTCAACTCCGGTCAACTCCCGGTCAATGCCGATCAACCCTGGTCAACGCCTCCGGTCAACTCCCCGGCTATGGCGATCGGCTTCCTCTTCGTTGCCACCCTTCACCTTCCTTCTCTTCACCTCGCCTCTTCCCCCTTCAACCTGATTGTCTTCTTTCCCTTTTTTTTTTTTTTTTTGTTCTTCTCTGCTTCCTCCTCCTCGGCTATAGCTTCTCTCTCCTTTCTCCGTCTCCCCCTCTGTCCACTCTCTCCTCCTCCTTCGTCACTCCATGGCCGCTATCTTCTTCTTCGTGGAACTGCGCAGCAACCTCACAGGTACGTAACAGCCAAACTTGTATCGCTCATCTCTCTCTCTCTCTCTCTCTCTCTCTCTCTCTCTCGGTCTTCTTCTCCGTCGTGGTCTTCTCTGCAGGTGCGCTGCGGCTTCTCCAACCTCCAGGTCCGCTATGGCGGACTTCTTCTGGCGGCCACCTCAGCTATGGCGCATCAGCCCCTGCACACGACGGCGCGCATGGAATAGCGGGTACCAGCTCCGATACCAATGCAATCAGACTCGCCTTCATTCACACTTTTCATGCATGTAAACAGTAGCGCAGCAAACTGGCGACATGCGCCCACTCAAATCTCAAAGATATGG